GGGATCGCCGGCCCACGGCCAGCAGGGCCCCCCTTACGAAGCCATTCCAAACCTAGAAACTATTGTGTGGGGAAGTACGCTTCAGCTCGGAAAGAAAACACACCGAGGAAAGGATTACAAGCAAGTTCCAGGAGCCCATGTCTGACGCCAGCCACGCCAAACGAAAATTCCCAACAGATAAACGGGAGCTGTTCCAACCGAAGCGGCGGTGTGGTGGCCGCTTGGGGTTGGATTCGGTGTCTGTGAGCTCCGGCGCCGCGGCGTCCGGTCGCCACACCCCAGCAAGAAAAACAAGAAATGAACCGCCGTAGCGGTGGAAAAGCCGTCTCAACCAAAGTATTTGCTGTTTAAATTATTTCCTTAGTTTTGCAGTGCTTCGCTTCCCCAAACACACTTCCGGGCCCACCGGCCCTGGGGTAAGCGTTATTTGACGTTATTACCATGCAAAGCAATGCCCTCCAGCAAGGTCCCTTTGGTATCGGGTATATTTGAACACGACTAAACGGGTATAAGTATATAGCTGTATATGAATTTTCCTCTATTTTACAATGTTTGGTCGGAGGCCGACATTTATTATTGACTTATTATCACCGAACTCGTTTTCTTATTCGCATGCTATCGGGAAGTGGAAACGATTAAGCGGGGACCGAATCCGGAGCCGGGTAGAAATGCGTATGTTCAAGCCTATTGGCCTCACGCTGGGATACCTCCCCCATACTCGCTCATGCCGTTTACCCTTATTTGGCTCATCGTATGCACTCAATTAGGCTATCACCTGCAGCTGCTTTTTTTCTCGCTTAAACATAGTTCCAAAAGCGAACGAACCCATCCGGTGACGCGGTTACCACCAAACGGGAGGCGTGTTGGATCTTAATCCCGCGCGACAGCCCCACCCAGCCCTGTGGATATCCCCCCAGGACGGTGTTAAGCTTCCGGACGTCCCACAGGTACAGGTTCTCGCCCACACACGCGGTGAGGTGGATGTCGTCGACGTCCATGCCCGTCACGTAGTTCCGGAGCTTGAGGGTGTACATCGTGTTCGCGGTCCGCTCCAGGTCCCC